AGACGAGCAGCAAGCAGGAAGAAGGCAGCCAAAAGAAAAGTGAGAAGGAAGACGATGATGACGGTGACGGCGATGATGCAAATGGAAAAAGTAGCAAGGCGAAGAGTAGCGGGGAGGAAGGAGGTAGTGAACAGAAGAGCGAGAAGGAAGAGAACGATGATGACAGTGCTAAAGATGGGAAAAGCAGCAAAGAAAAGAGCAGCAAGCAGGAAGAAGGCAGCCAGAAGAAAAATGAGAAGGAAGGCGATGATGGTGATAGTGATGCTAATGGAAATGGCAGCACAGAGAAGAGCCAAAATGAGGCAATCGATGGCAAAGAGAAGACACGAGAGGATGCGGAAGAAGAAGAGGAAGAAACGAGCAGCGATGGCCCTCATGGGAATGGCTCCCACCAGAGCAAATCCGATACACCGAGTGGGGCCCTGACACGTAGAGACAGGCCATAAACATGCAGCAGCCTGTGTATATATTGCCAGTTTTCCTTTATGTCCTGCTGGTGGTTCTGCTGCTTCGTGGTGTTCTATAGTTCTTGCCCAACGACCTCGGGTAGTAGACATATATAGTGAGCTGAAGCTGCTTGCCTCTTCAGGGCCGTAGTATTCTGAGCCTCTGCCCAAAGTGAGCTGTTCCTTGTGTTGGGTTTACTGTTTTCTGTTGCTGCTCCTGCTGCTGCAGTCCGGTTTTTGCACCGAGAAGGAAAGGCCCATCCAGTGGGAGGCGTGTCCAGCTGGCTGGTTGCAGGATTCGCTAAAGGGGGAGAGAAAGGAGAAGATATTCTCACAGCGCCAGGGGGAGATACGCCGGAAGAGAAGGAAGCAGAAGCGAAGAAGGAGAAGGAGAACCTAGAGAAAGAGATGAAGGCTGACAAGTTAGGCGTGGCTTCTTAGTGATGCTTGTGCTGCTGTTGCTGGTTCCTTTCTGAAGCGATATGCTTGTTGGTGTATGAGCTTTTGCTGCTGCTGGTGTGCGTCTTGCTGCAGAGAGAAGCACCAGAAGGATATCGAAAAAAAGGCCCTCGCATCCACACACGAGAGTCCGAGTATATCTGTCCCTGGAACCCACCCAGCAGCCGCCACAGCATCTGCAGTTTCAAGCGGAACGGCGGCAGCGACGGCCGCCACAGCGGCAGCCGCTGCTGCTGAAGCAGCGGCTGGAACGGCCAAAGCACAAATGGTGTTGTCAGCACCGACAGCGAAGGAGATCGAGGCAGATAGGCTGCCTCCTGAAGTGCTGCAGAAACTGCACCAGACAGCAGCACCACGAAGTCCTGACGAAGAGCACCGGATGTTGCAGGTCCTCCATCAAGCCCACGCCGCTGCGCTCAAACTCAGATCACAAGGCATAGAGCCCACGTCGGAGAACCTCGAGAAGGCAGGCGTCTCGGTCGAAACGCAGATGGAGATTGCCAAAGCCATTCACCTCAAAGAGCAGCAGCCACCAGGGCAGCAGCAGCTGCAGCAACAATATCAGCAGCAGCAGATCCCACCTCCCGGAGGGCTGCTACTTCCCCCGCAGCAGCTAGTAGGTTTGCCAGGCCCCCTTCAACTACCAGGGCAGATAACGCCGCCACAGCAAGTGCCAGTTTACACACCAGTGCTGGGGGTGCCGTCACCGCAGCAGGTGCAACTCGGGCAGCAGATCCCAGCACCCGGAGGGCTGCTCCTTCCCCCGCCGCTGCTAGTAGGTTTACCAGGCCCCCTTCAACTGCCAGCGCAGCAAACGCCGCCACAGCAAGTGCCAGCTTTTTACACACCAGTGCTGGGGGTGCCGTCGCCGCAGCAGCAACATCATCAGCAGCAACATCAGCAGCATCAGATCCCACCACCAGGAGGGCTGCTGCTTCCCCCGCAGCCGCTAATAGGTTTACCAGGCCCCCCTCAAGTGCCACCGCAGCGAACACTGCCACAGCAAGTGCCAGGTCACACACCAGTGCTGGGGGTGCCGCCGCCACAGCAGCAACATCAGCAGCAGCAGCCATTGGTGAGTATGGGGCCTCTCGAGGAGCAGACTGGGCTGCTTGCGGGGTCTACGCATTCGCACCTTCTGGGGGGCCCTCCACCCGTTGGTCTCGCAGGGCCTCGGGAACTCCCAATGATTTTACCTCAGGGAGAAGCAGCGGACCCTCTCTATCAGCGGCTTCTGCAGAATACGCAGCTCATGGAAGAGGCCAAGCGGGAGAAGATCTGGAAGGACATCAAGAGCGTGCGTGCAGTAGCGCAGCAGCTGATTGCTAGAGGCCTTGAGCCCTCGGAAAAGAACCTGCGGATGGCGGGTGTCAGCACAAACAAGCAGCGGCGACTTGCGTGGTTCTTGGGGATCCCCTTTAAAAGTGAAAAAGAAATACAAAAAGAAGAGGCAGCCCTTAAAGCAAAGCAAAGGGTCATATTCTGGAGCGTAACGTCATGTGTACTGCTAGCCTTGGTGGCAGCGTTCTATTGGTTTAGGGGAAAAGTAACGAGGAGCCTCAGGAGGATGCGGCACCTCTATAAAGAAGCGTATCTGCACAGACTGCAGAAGAAAGCAGAACGCTTAAGGGGACACAAAACAACCGATCGGACTGAGCGTGGAGAAACCCGGGGCAAAGAGCGGCAGGGCGCTCTTAAAGTCTTGCGACTGAATACCGGCAAAAGCACAGAATATGGGGTCCATAGGGGGCCCTCATCCTCCAGCAATGCAACCAATGATCAATACATGAGGGGCAAAACCTCTAATACTCGGGGCACCGCAGCAAAGCTCCACAGTCACAGTGGGCGTTTTCCCTCTAGTAGCCGATCCAGCTACGCAGACCCCGAAGAGGGGCTTTGGGAGGACCAAAGCGGGGCCGCCCCCACAGCGGCAGTGGCAGCGAGCCAACAATTTAGTTGCGCAGCTGTCAGAAGCTCCCACAGCAGCGCGCTGTCAAGGGAGGAGTGGCAAGATGTAGAAGAGGAACCCCTTTTAGAGAAGCACAACAGGGGTCACTCGCCCTGACCGGGAGGCTTCTATCGGCACTGTGCTGTATTTTCGCTATTGCAGCGCATAGAAGGTCGAGGGATGTTGAACAGGCACTGAAAGAGCTGACCCATCTCTCCTTGTATGATATGAATGAATTCATGCAACTTTTGTCAGCCGCAGCAGCAGAGACGACAGCAATGTGGGCTGAGTCTCTAAATTGCAGCTCACACTCGTACTGACAGACATATTGTCAATAAGATTTGTCAGTATTGCCAGTCTTGATTTTTCATTGTCAGCCTTAATTTAGTGCTTACATGATGAACGCCAACTATTGGGGAGTAGTCACAGCGCAGACTAACAGTGCATAATTCCCTCTACGGTTTCAGGAAAACGCGCAGACGCTTAGTTCTGGACTCGAAGCAAGTTGACAGAAAGGTGTTGAAAGTGCTTCCATTAGACAGCTTCTTTGTTGTGCTGCACGTGCCCCGTCGAATTTCCGACACCAAAGTAGAGGAATCGCTAGGGTGCACTTCGTTACACTCTTTAAGCACTCCGGGTAACCACCGTAGTCTCAGCAATCAGCATGTTGTCCACACGCACATGTTTTATCTGTTTGTATTGTGCCAACTCCACTACACTGCAGTAGGAAGGCCGAGCCAATTCGTCAATTATTAAGGAGCTTTTCCGTGTTAGTAGTGTAGGGAAGAGTGTCAAAGTGCAGCTTTGCGCTCTCGCTGGAGAAGGCGATTTCTATGCACCCCTGTACATGTATAAGCAGCCAAAACGTTTGCTTAGCCAGGTGACTACATGTAGTTAAGGGTTAGCGAGATGCCTCGCGTGCCGAAATCGGCTAAGCATTGGGCAGTCAAAGGCAAGCCTCCTGTTGTACGTGTAGAGCATGGAGCTTCTCCTCCGTTGGTGGCTAGAGGGCGTCGTCAGACAGTTTTTTTGGACTATACCAGAAATGGTTGCAGTAGAAACCTAGGGACGGTGGCGGAGCTGCATCGTGAGGGTGTGTCGAGCGTGTTATTGGTGCGCAGTTCTGAAAGGCCAGCCAGGATGAAGTGCCACACACTATATATATACATATATATCCTTATCCCTAGACCGACAGGCTTCCTGGTTTGCGCGTTGCGCTAGCCACCGTCGCGAATCGGGTCCTGGCGTCCTCTACTTTTCTCCTCGAGATAAGGCTGGAAGAGTCGCTCACCAATCGTCAATCGGCTTTTTGAGGCGTTGGCGGGCATTGTCAAGACGGTTTCTCCTGAGCAAGCGGAGGGTTTCACGTTCACTGCCTGTTGTATTTACCCACCCAAGGGTCTTGCAGAGGCAGCCGGTTGAGAGGAGGCCCCTGTCTTTTTCGCGTAAAAGCAGTGGCGGAGCTTTGATCTTCTTTATCCACTGTGGTAAGGCCCCGAAGTTGGCTGGCTTGGGGGGCCCCATCATGGGGCCCCATACAGCCTGCCTCTGCGCATCGGCGTCAGAAAACATGCTCCGTAGCGGCCAAGCTACCCAACACTTCTTTGGACACCTATAGGTGTGTCCATCTCAGGGAGTGTCGGCACAGCCCTCAAAAATCCCGTGGCTGCCTTCCCGTCCTCGCGGACTTGCGGGGGTAGGCTGGGTGTCTTTGCTTTCTCCTCTCTTTTACTTTCGCGTCTTTTGCCGTTTCTCCCTCTCAAGCGTGCCAATGGCCACGTTTTGTGGAGTTTGACGGCGCACCTCCCAAGCGGGCCGTCAAGGGCCCCTCTGCTGCCCCCCTTGCTGTCAGTGTGAGCGCGGAAGGGAGGCCTCTGCTGCAGGCGCTTCTCTTTGTGTCTGCCTCCTTGTCTGCATCTGCCCTTCTGCACACGTTGCTGCCCTCGCCGGCGGCAGCTGCAGCAGCGGCGCTTCCGGCTGCCGCCTCTCCCGAAGCGCCCCCCTTCCTCCTGAATGGGATCCTTGCAGGGGCGGCTGCCTCGCAGCCTGCTGCTTGCCCTCCCGCTAGGGGCCGCTGGCCATGCAGGAGAGGCCCCTTGCGCTGCAGCAGACACTTCCGTAGTGTCACGGAAGAGAAGAATGCATGAGTTACAGCAGCAGCAGCAGCACCGGCTAAAAGGGCAGCGCCAGCGAGAAGAGAACGCGGTACACTTCCACGCCACAGAGGCTCCCCAGGACGCAACCCTTTGCCAACTGCACCATCCAGCCGACTCCAACAGCGACTGCGGATTTGCTGGAAGGAGAGACACCAAACGTGCTCATGTTGGGTCACTTGGGATTTTGCGCCCTCTCCACCGCAACAGCAGAAGCAGCACCTGTAACAACAATGGCGCAACAGGCGGTAGCACAGACCGGAGCACCCCGTCCAATCTCGTCATGGGCAGGTCGAAGGGCAACAGCAGTTACACTCAAACCAACCGCAGCAGCAGCAGCAACAGCAGCACCACCGGCAGCACCAGCAGGAACCGCAACAATGACAGCTACACAAACGACGCGGGCACCATCAACTGTGAGATCAAGCCGACTATATCCAGTTTCCGGGGCAGCAGCAGCAACAACAGCAACAACAACAGCAGCAACAACAGCAACAACAACAGCAACCACAACAGCACCAACAGCAGCAATTGCAGTAACGCTTCACCAAGCTGCCCCCTCTGTAGAGGCTCTGGGGTTTTTCGCCATGGGCCTCGTTGGGAGCGTCGTGAGGCTTTGCTGCAGACACATGGCTTGGTGTTTTCTGGCCTCAACAACCGCTTGGCGGCACCTGGATCATCTGGAGCGGCTGACAGTGCCATCCAAGGGCAGCAGCAGCAGCAACTCAGCAGCGCCAACGGCAGCACACAGCAGCAAAGCTCAGAGCAGCGGCGAGAAATCGAAGCTTTGAGGCGCTGCCTGCTGAGCGGCTTCACAAGGAAGGAGCGGCAGCGATACTGCTGCCCGTTTTGTCGCTGGGAAAAGAGTGGGGGTGCAGTCCTTACAAATGCAGCGACTACTGCTGCTGCTGCTGCTGCCGATGACCACAGCAGCCTCCGTCTTTGTATCCCTCGGAAGGGCATGGAGGCGCAGGCGCTGCAAGTGCAGCAAGAGCTGCAGCAGCAGCATTCGATTGACTTGGAAGGCCTCTCTGCCGAGCAGCAGCAGTCCTGCTTCGTAAAGGTCGAGTGCGCACCCCTATGCAGCAGCAGCAGCAGTTGTACCGCCAACAAGAGCCTCAGCTGCGGACTGGAAAGCTGCGACACCAACACCCTTGCGGGGGTTTGTGTGGGATTTGACTGCCGCTCCCTCAGCGCAGAGGCCCGCTACGTGGTATCCGAATTGGTGAAAGACGGATGTTTCATCTCGGTTGCACTGCAGGCGGTTACTGCCGTGCAGCAGCAGCGGCAACAGGAGCAAGAGCAGAAGCAGAAGCAGAAGAAGCAGAGGCAGCAGCAGAAGCAGCAGGAGCAGAAGGAGGCCCTGCAGCCGCAGCAGCAGAAGCAGCAGGTCGAGTCAGGTGCTGCTGCAGGCACAGGCTTTGCCGCTGCATGTGCAGCGGCAGCAGCCGACATTGAGGCGGAGGCCGTTAGCCAGCAGCTGCTGGATTTGGGGTCTCTAAGAGCGCGTGAAGACGCAGACGCTTTGCGGGATAGTCAGACGAGCCGACAGCAGCAGGAGCTCAGCAGCAGCGCTCAGCCCCTGTGGGAGCAGTACGGCTGTCTTTGTTCGTTCCTCGCAGCCGCAAATCCCACGCTTTTTGATGTCTTGACGAGCAGCACCAAAAGCGGAGGCGCTGGTGTCGGTGGGAAGGCAGCAGCTGCGCAAAGCCGCCTGCTGCTGCAGCGCCTCTTTGGACTGCAGCAGCTGCTGCTGCGGAGCTACCCTTCGACAGGGCCTTGCTTCATTAGCCGTACCGACCAGGAGGCATGGCTGTTCCTCAGAGCGCTGAGCAACCGACAGACGGATGCGGGGCACCCCAACATCCACGACTGCCTCCTGTTGGCATCCGCTGCTCGAGCAGCCGCAGCTGCAAACTCCTCCTCAGGAGTAACAGCGCCTTGCTCTCTAGCAGGTAGGCGATGGACGCGCAGGAAGGCCTTGCCTGTCTTGCGGCGGGCGGCTCTAGAGAGCAGTATGCCTGCTAGCCAAGGGGGCTTTTTAGGCGTGGCATCGCCGCAACAGTGGCCCCTTAGTGAGCAGCAGCGCGAAGGTATTCAGCAGCTACGGGAGCTTGCCGCTGCACTCTCTGCAAGGGAGCTACAACTGAGTCTTAGCAGGGCCTTCCTGTTGAACAAAGAGAAGGTACGCCCCTGACGCGCTTGACCTCACAAAAATTTCCCCTTCACCTTATAAAATTCCCCCTTTACCTTATAAAATTTCCCCCTTTCCCTTATAAATTTCCCCCTTCACCTCACAAAATTTCCCCCTTTCCCTTGCCTCTGCCTCTGCTAGCGATCCTTGCATGGCGCGATGTCTTCTGGTGTCTTTATGTAGGTCCTCGCCGAGTCGCTCTTCTTCTCAAATATTGGCTCCCTCGCAGCCCCATCTCTTCTCTTGCAGGAGCGGCAGCGGCTGCTGCAGCTCGTCGGCTGGTGGCTGCGTATTGGCGCCTTCATCTCTGCCACAGCGGCTGCGCTGCAACAGCACCATCAGCTGCAGCAACAACCAAAGCCATGCAGGGAAGGCCGTCACTCTCAGCATCATCAAGAGCACGAGGCGGATGTCGCTTGCCCCTTTTCAGAGGAACTGCAGCACCAGGAGGCGGCGCCTCAACTCTCGGAGCTGCTGTTTCGGCCGCATCCAACGCGAGGGCCATCCCACATACAAATGCTGCTGTTACACCCCAGAGAAAGCGCTGCAGCGGCAGCATTCGCAGCAGCTGCCGCAGAAGCAGGCGGCAAATTGGAGCCTTTGTTGCCCCCGCAGGCCGGCAGCGGCCCGGCGAGGGTAGCAGCGAAGGCACCCTCAGCGACTGCATGCGCTGCAGCAGCTGAGGGGATGCTCAATCCAGAGCATCACAGTGCATCCACGAGCAAAGACAGCGGCCGCAACACTTGTCGAAGTGTCGTGCTTTGCTCGAGGGGCAGAAGAAGTAAAGAGGTAATCGTTCTGAGCAGCAGCAGCAGCAGTCGCAGCACCTCCGAAGAGCGAAAGGAGGGGGCGCGGCACTTTTCGCAGCCCGCCTCCAAAAAGGCTTTCAAAGCCTTTATCCCTGAAGTCCCCTTTAAACAGCGAAGGAGTAAAGCCTCTTTCTCCGAGTGCCGCCCTGCAAATCGGGGCCTCGGCTCTAGCAGTAGCAGCAGCGGAGCTGCGCGCAACGCTAGCAGGCTGCGTGTGTTTGCATCCTGTCATCCCGCCCCCACAGCGGAGCTCCTGGTGGCGAGTTTCTTGTCAGGTGGCTCCGAGGTCACCCAGGCTGCGCCTGCCTCGCAGCGCTGCTGCTGGGAAGTCGAACTGCCAGACAGTCCTGGCCTGAGAGGCCTCAGTGCCGCGTGCACCGCGTTTCGTCCTCTGCAGTATCAGCAACAGGAGGAGATTTCCGCGTATGATGCCTTTTGCAGCTTGTGGCGCCTTACTGCCGACCCTTTAGCAGCCCACTGCAGGTCCCCCAGAGTGCTGCAGGACGAGGCGGGGGAACGCTTAGAGGAAAATTCATGCATCACGGAGGTGCGCTGCATCCTGCAATGCCGCCGCTGCCACAGATGGCGGCATCAGCGCAGTACGAGGGGCCTCGGCTTTTGGAGTTCCCCCTCTCCTGCCGCGCCTCTAGGGCACACCTCCGTCTGTACACCCCTTACTTACACTGGGAATGGGCTCCCTTGGTGTGCGTGTCTGTGTGCTGCTAGGGCTGTAGCGCTTGCCGCCCTTGTCTGTCGCTTTTGCGTGAACTCTGCAGGCTCTCCCTCCCCTCGTTGCCTCCGGGCTGTGGCTGCCATCAGAGGCCTTCGTGGCCCCCATGCAGCAGCAAGGTATGAAGCACCAGCAATATACAGGTCGCATGCAGTGGGGTCGGCAGCACTTGGCGCGCCTTGCTGCGCTGCTTCTACCGCAGCCCGCCAGCAGCAGCAGCACCAACGGCACAGCGGAGGGGCTGCCTGCTTATCGCTGGTTGCGAGAAGCTATCGCCGCAATTCGCCAGGCAACGGAATGTGCCTTTCTTTCCAAGCCCGCCCCCACCGATGCAAACGAGGAGCTGTTAATTGACGACGACGCCCATCACTACCCTAAAGGTCCTTCATATGCACCAGAGACCAACTAAAATGGCCCTCGTAAAGACTGGTAATGGACCGTTTGCCCCACCCACCCCCTTCCCGCCCGCTCTCTCCAAAGGGGGAGAAAATTTACATGTTGAGGCCCCAGTTGGGCCCTGCATTGCATATTTTTGTGTTTGTAAGGGCTTTTAAGGCTCTAAACTGCGCAGGAGGCCACCATATGTTATCGCATGGACGTCGATGAGCCTAGAACGCAGCCCCTTGGTCCTCCCGTGGTTTCATCGCAGCCCACCCACCCCTGCTTTCCCCCTTTCCATGCCGTTGCATCCATAGAATATTCTGGCCCTGCTGATTTTCATGGCAATGTCTATGCGTATCGGCGGCTGAGCGCATGGTTTGTGTTTATTCTATAGCTCATTGCTTCGTGACAGGGCCTTTAATTGGGTTTCTCGGTGTGTCTGCATGCGCTCTTTCCCGTGCGCGTGACTTCCGACGCTGTCTGAGATGGCTGCCTCCAACTCTTCCTGATCATTTGCGTGATCCTGGAGGCCCGCTCCAACGAGGAAGCACCCCCACCTGCACTATTAGAGAGAGCAGAGGAGCACTAGGCATCAGAGCCCAAGTGCCCTCGCAGTAGTAAAAAAGTAAAGTTTCTAGTGATTGCAAGAGCCAAACGGCCAGTGTGTGTGTCTGTGTGCGTGTGTGAATAAGTGGGTCGGAGCAGTCCCACCCCAACGGTGCCCCCAGAGTCACACAGTCTACCGCTGAAATAAGCGGTTACACTTGTGGCACTGATGTCGCGTCTTAAAATTAAGGGCGCTGCATTTCCAGCAGCTCCAGTATAGGTGTGGGTGAGTTTTGGGGGTAACGCGGTTTCCCTCTCTATCGCCTCCCTTTTCCCTTGTGCTGTCTAGGGAGCTGGTAAGAAGAGGCCCCCCGGGGGCCCCTGCAGCACTGGCCACCGCTGCTGCTGCCAATGCAGCGTTGGAAGCAGCAGCCGGTAGTGCCGCGGTATCTGAAACGAATGCGTAATTTCCACACGAGAGTCCGAATGCCTTCCGATAGTTAGCGAGCTCCCGGGATTGCGGTTGGTTGTTGGTGGGGGCCCCCAAGGGAGGCCCTACGTCCTCCCTGGCGCTGCGAGCGTCAGCCGTAAACACCCGAGATACCCTGTCGAAGATGACAATCGGTTCATCGGTCTCTGCTGTTGAAGCGCCTCCGGGGTTGGTGGCGCCTCCTACCACCCTACCCTGCACTGCTGTTGCTGGAGCGGCAAATGCAGCCCCTTTAGAAGAGGATGGGTGGTGGCGCTTATGTTTATTCTTCGAGCTTTTCGATTTCTTCTCTGTTTTTTTCTTTTTTGTGATGTGGCGTCGGGCGGTCAATTCGTCGGACGAGGGCGAGCGGGACCTGCTCCTTCCGTGCCTATTTTTTCTTGACTTCTTCTTTGCTCTGCCTCGCCGCCGAGAGGCAGAAGAAGAAATAGACGAAGAATCTGAACTGGAATCATCAGTTGACTGCTGCTTGAGGGCCTTTAGGGCCCGCTTCACGGGGTGTACCGTCGGGGTGTACTCAGGGGAAGATCTCCGGGTATGCGCGGGCGACCTGAAGCCGCTGCCGTGCTTGTCGAGGCACTCATCTGAGGTCCCAGAGGAGCCCCTCCGACGGCGAACCATGGGTGCTGAGAGCCAGCGCGTTCCTAGAGGCCAATAGTGCAAACGGCGAATGAGGTATTGCACTGCTCTCAAGAATCAACAAAGCCCACAATTCCTGCGAACTCTTCAAAAGCCCCAGCCCCTCTGCAGGCTTCAAGAAATATGTGTGATATCCGTAAGGGGGAAGAACGGCTTACGGAAAGCACCCTGCGGTGCAAGCTACCTTTGACTTCGCGGGCGTCCGACGCACATAGGCCCCCTGCCTGCGCTTTGCCCTAGGAGGATTCCGGGAGAAATTCCACCCCGATGTGCACTATGAAGCACATCAGGAAGACGTTTCGAAAGGAAGAAAGCGCAATGCAATCAAACTCGCCGAAACTCCAAAGGACTGTTCAATAGGCGCCACTCGAGCAAAGTACAGTACTAGCCCCTGTGACCTGTTTGCCTCTACGGCACGCGGAAGGCTCGAGAATCCTGAACTTCTTATTAAGCAGCGCGGAGTACCATGATACTGCGGGTAATCCACCTTCTAACTGCTGCAAGGGACTACAATATGGTGCCGGGGGGGCCCCAGGGGCCCCCTCGGTCGCCCTATGCTCGTTCGTTGGGGCCGCCACTGGGAACCGCGGCCAGTCGAGTGGGGCGGTACGGCAGTGCTGCTTCTAGAGGATTCTCCAGCCTTAAATGCAAGCAATTGCGTTGCATCAGATAGGAATTATTTCCTGCTATTATTAGAGCAGCGTATTAAGGCATCTTCGTGGGATCGGTGCCACTTGCTACCTCTCCCCCTCTCTCACCCTGCAAGTGCAGCAGCACCCGAGGGTTGGTCACCGCGTGCCCTCGGTCCATTCGCGTGCTTTTTTTGCATACCAAGTGAATTGGTGGCTTTAGGAGGCCAGAGAAGATGCACGGATCATTGGCTCGGTCGGCGGCAAGAGCTCTGTGGGCGCGGAGTCGCTGCCCCGCATCCCTTGCCACATCTTTGCAACACCGTGGAGCTTTTGGTGCTTCCCCAAGTGCCTTGGCGGCCTTATCAAACCTATCGAGGTGAGAGGCTCCGTGGCTGTCGAAAAATTGGGGAGAGAGGCAGTTTTTCTAGTTTGTATGTACGTCTCTCTGCAACCGTGCAGGCCCTGGTCACGCCTTGAATCTCGCGGTATGGGGACCTGTCATGATGCCAACTATTTTTCCCCCCAACTGTTGTACCTACCCTCGACTCTGCGGGGCATCTTTATGACTGTTTCTGCTGCTGAAAGCTGCCTTTCCGTGGTCGCCCTACTTACCATGCTCTCTTGTAGCAATAGCTGTCGAGTCAACCGCATGGTCCTGCGCGCTTATTCTGTAAAGATTTGCATACTTGTGTGTATATCTATGTATATACATGTGTTGTGGCTACCATGCCGCGTTTTCTTTCGGCATCCCGCTACTTTTCTCGTGGCGTCTTCGTGCTGGATGCCTCTTTGGATGTCTCTGTGTGCACGCTTGTTTGCATGCCTGACTCTGTGTGGGTGTGTCTGTTTTGCATCTTCTGCTGGGTGTGCCTCGTCTTCTCAATGTGGTTTCAGCAGCCGTCGCTTCAGCACCGTGCGAGGGGATGTCGTCGGGATCGATCTGGGAACGACAAACAGCTGTGTTGCTGTGATGGAGGGCACCAAGCCAAAGGTTTTGGAGAATTTGGAAGGCATGCGAACAACTCCGTCCGTGGTTGCGTTCACGAAGGACGGGCAAAAGCTCGTTGGGGTTGTTGCGAAGCGGCAAGCCGTCACGAATCCAGAAAACACCTTCTTCAGTACAAAGCGCCTAATCGGGAGACGGTTCGACGAACCGGCCATCACTAAGGAGAGGGGAATATTACCCTACAAGGTCGTGAGGGCTGATAACGGTGACGCTTGGGTAGAAGCATGGGGAAAACGCTACTCGCCTTCCCAGGTACACACACAACCTTATCCATGAATGTAGACAGTGCCAGAAGAACGAGATTGGCGAGGGACGGCGGTGTATAGGTGCACATTTTACACATTGTATTGAACCAGATCCTGATATATCTACCGGTGCATATATCTGTGCATGTTTATATATATGCACATGTATATATTTCCATACGTGCTTGTATAGTTGCATGTGTAGCTGTATATACATGGTAGGGACTATAGGTGTCGAGCCATGTTCAGCAACAGGTGGCTGTTGGTATTCGTCATTCATGATTTTTATGAATGCTGAGCACCCGCGAAGCTCATACGTGTGTCCCTAGAAAATATCCCAGAGGTGTTTTGCAATACGAAGTTTTTTTTGCAGCGCTTCAAAGAATATATATTGCTGTTAGTGTAGCTGTGCAGCTGCGGCTCGTTGTGCTTGCTGCGGCATTTGGGCATACATAATGTGTTGGCGCTGTTGGTGTATACACAGGTGGGCGCCTTCATTTTAATGAAAATGAAGGAGACTGCAGAGGCCTATTTGAGCCGTGAACTCCGTCAGGCAGTCATTACCGTTCCCGCGTACTTCAATGATTCTCAGCGTCAGGCAACGAAAGACGCTGGGAAAATCGGTAAGACTCAGTTTCCGTCTTGCGTGTTGCATGCGCCTGTGCATGTCAACAGGCCTTGCATCTTGAACCCGAAGGATCATTGTGCTGTGGCTGCTGCCACGCTGCACTCTCGCCTGCGTTTTTTGCAGCTGCTGCCGCTGCAAAAAACGTTCTTGTACTGCTGCCATGGATATCGCGTGTGTTGTTCTCGAGCTAGCTATTGCATTCATGTCTAGACGGGGGAGGTGCTGTTGTTGCGTGTGGTTGTCTTTGCTCAGCCGGCTTGGAGGTTCTTCGGATAATCAACGAGCCAACTGCCGCAGCCCTTGCATATGGCATGGAGAAGGAGGACGGGAAGACGATTGCGGTTTACGACTTGGGAGGCGGAACCTTTGATGTGTCAATTCTTGAGATTCTTGGGGGCGTCTTTGAAGTGAAGGCGACCAATGGAAATACAAGCTTGGGAGGCGAGGACTTTGACCAGAAGGTCTTGCAGTTTCTCGTGAGCGAGTTCAAGAAGAAGGAAGGCATTGATCTGAGTAAGGACCGGCTTGCGTTGCAGCGTTTGAGGGAAGCGGCAGAGGACGCCAAGATTGAGCTGTCTTCAAAGCTTTCGACGGAGATCAACCTGCCGTTCATTACTGCCGACCAGTCAGGCCCCAAGCATCTGCAGGTTTCGCTTTCACGGGCGCAACTCGAAGAGATGGTTAGCGGCTTGTTGCAACAGAGCGTGGAGCCTTGCGAGAAGTGTATCAAGGATGCTGGTGTGAAGAAGGCGGATCTGAGCGATGTTATTCTGGTCGGGGGTATGACCCGCATGCCCAAAGTGGGGGAAGTCGTTCGCAACATCTTTGGAAGAGAACCTTCAAAGGGCGTGAACCCCGATGAAGCAGTCGCCACTGGAGCCGCCATTCAGGCAGGAGTGCTGAAGGGGGAGATCAAGGATCTTCTGCTGCTCGATGTTTGCCCGCTTTCCCTGGGCATCGAGACCCTGGGAGGTGTGTTCACGCGACTCATCAACCGCAATACCACAATACCAACCAAAAAGAGCCAAGTCTTTTCTACAGCGGCCGACAATCAGACGCAGGTAATGCGGGCACAGCACAGCTTTACACAGTACACTACATGACAGTTTTTACAGCAAACGACGCGTGCGCCGGCGTTAATTAAGCCTTTCTGCGGTAGCCGCAGAGAGGGGCTAAGTGGTGTGGTGAGAGGCTTCGCGAGAGGCCAAGCCTTAGAGTATACAACATTTCCTTAACTCCGCCCTTCCATGCGCTCTGACGCAGGTGGGCATCAAAGTTTACCAAGGAGAACGCGAGATGGCGGCTGCAAACAAGCTGCTCGGACAGTTCGACTTGGTTGGCATTCCCCCTGCCCCTCGTGGCATTCCTCAGATCGAGGTGACCTTCGACGTCGACGCCAACGGTATTATGAACATCAGCGCCGTGGACAAGAGCACTGGAAAGAGACAGCAAATCACCATCCAGAGCAGTGGTGGACTCAGCGAAGAGCAGATAAACCAAATGGTGCAGGATGCAGAGAAATTCAAGGCCGAGGACGAAAGGCAAAAAGAAGCTATCGCCGTAAAGAATGAAGCAGAGACGCTGGTGTACTCTGTACAAAAGCAGATGAATGATCTAAAGGTACTAGCAGATATAGCTTTTGGCGCACGCTCTCTATCTCCATCTCTCTCTTTGGCTCGCCCTCTCTCAAAAGGCGAATCTGTGATAGAGAACCCTTTTGCTGCATGCATCGCATTCCGTGTCTGTAGCAGTTGGCCGTAGGGGAGACAGCGGGTCACATATAATTAATACATATTTACATGTACGCTTCTCTCACGTGGCCTCTTGCTTGTGGTCAGTGGCTATTATTGGTGGTTTTTACCCAGATGCATGCTGCTTCTTTGTAGGATAAGATTTCTCCGGAGGATCGGTCAGAGCTCGAGTCTCGGATTACCAAGGTTCGCTCTGCACTAACGGATACAGACACTGAGGCCCTCCGCGCTGAAGTGAAGTCGCTGCAGGAACTCTCGTGGAAGGTGTCGCAACAGGCCTATAGCCAGGTAATGAAAATGAACCTCACCAAAGCATGCAGGCATATACGCAGCGTCACCAGAGGAAGAGACAGCGAGGGACCTTTAGAGAGCGCTTGGTTGCATGTTCATGGGCGCATATGCGGAGGGACGTGCTGCTATATGCGTGTTTGTACTTGCTTCTTGGTATGTGTCTACATGTCGGCACGTAGAGTCTCATGTCAAGTATTCCTTTTCGGGTGGGGGCCGGAAGAGCTTTTCTTGTTGCAAGCGGATTTTTAGAGGGTATGCATGCTCTCTCTGTGTTCTATTGGCCGAAGCGTAGTGGTGTCGGTTGCTTTTCCTGCAGGGAAGCGCTTCCTCCAGCGACGCTGATAGCAGCACTGGCAGCACCGATGACAGCAGTCGCAGCAGCGACAGCAGCAGCAACAAATCTTAAGACAGCACCCTTGACCACTTAGATGCTGTGTTGCCTTCTTGAATAGAGGCGCTGCATGTTGTCTGGGCCCTCAGAGGCGCCACTGGTTGGTGTGAGTGTGTGTATATATGTATGTGTATATATATGCCCTGGAGCTTTCACAGTGACTCTCTGGGGGTCCTTTGCATCGTAGTTGTCAAGGCGAGCTGACAACGGGTGAAGGGGAAGGTTTCTTACCGCCTTGGGCGCCAAACACTTGCGCTGCATCTGACGCTGCCGCAGTTGGCTCCGGGTGTGCTGCAGCGGCAGCGGCTGTGGTGACCGATTGTCGGATAGCTTGAAACGATACGCGCGGCTCGTTTGAGGCAATAGTGCAAAAGGGGTGGGCCCCTGCAGACCTCAGTCGTTGGCTGGTGCTTGCGCCTTCACCTGCAGCAGGGCAGGGCGAATTCGCATGTAGCTCGGGCGGTGCGTTGGGGCCCCCCCTTGCTGTTCATAGCAGGTCAAGGGCGTGTATGATCTTGAGGGCCCCACGGTTGAGCGAGCACTCTAGGAGTTTGGGGTGCGTAGAAAAGGAAAGGACGTGTCAGACGACCCGTCCATGGACAGCTCCAGAGTAGCCGCTGGTGTAGATGCAGGCTCTTCGCCGTTGCGCCCCCCTACAGATAATGGGGTGCAGCAAAATTTTCAAGAGAGAGGACAGGGAGGGTTCTGAATGATTGTGGCGGCAACCCACTGAGAGTTTGCATGGGCTGAGGTGCTACCGCTAATGATCTATTAAATACCATTCAACAACCAATACTCATTTTCCTAATCTGAAAATCTACACAACGGATGAACGTCCGCTAGGAGCATCTTATTCGGGCCTCCACTTATGAGGTCCTGCTAATGAAACTGGAACCAATGCCTTTTTCGGCCGTAGTATTATTGAGCATCATGTGGCGATAAGCGGTAGAATGGGTGCGAGCTTGCTTGGAAGCTTTATGAAACTTGAGTACTGTTGCTGTAATCCGTACAACGGAAAACATAATTGATACGAATCGGTGCGTCGCAACACGCAGATGTCACAAATAATGCCGCAAGCTACACGACTCGATAAAACTGATATATATATATATAGTAGACTAGCATGTGGTTTCTCTGCATAGGAGAGCAGCCAAGTCTCTCGCATGATGGGGGAGATGACTGCAAGCATGTCAAGGGTTGGCAGTGAGTACGTAGACTCCGAGAGATCCCCGAAGCATGTTATACAAAGCCTCCCGGATATGGGGATACCGCAGGAGGTTTCCGGCGAGGAAGAAGAGGTTGGGAAACGGCTGAAACAACTGCAGACCTCCGACGCTGGCAACCGGGCAGGCGACGACGTGCAGGCGCTATCTCCGTCAAAATGCCGCCTGAAGGCCTTGTTTCAGCTGGATAAATCTAGCGGGCAGCCATCTTGATCACAACCACGCATTATGAGATGCAGAGCACTTTTATTCTGCTCATAGTGTACTATGGTTCAGTGTTCTTCTGAAGAGGGAGAAGCAACATGTCTTCGCTTCCAGACCCGAAGCGCGTTCTCTCCGCTTCCAAATATGGCCCGATTTTGCGGGATATCTACAATATCACGGCGCCTTTGGCCGGTGTAAGCGTTCCTCTCAGATCCCACGCCGCTTGCGCTTTCGCGGCCAGTGTTGAGAGGTGTAAATAAATACGCCAATAACGGCAGTGAGGGATTTTTACCCAGATCATTTAAAAAAGTCTTCCGACGCTGCGTATGCACAACGGGGCCTCCGATAGTCCTCTTGCAGGCCCCGAATGCACAGGCGGTGTGAACTCCTTAAGCCCACATTGACGGAGACCCGCTCACAGGCTGTTCCTTGTCATCAGATTCTTTGTCTGCTGTGTCAACGAATACTTCCTCAGGCCTTTCTCCTTCGCTTCTTATCAAGAATTCTGACTCCTTATTTTCCTCCTTCTTGGCCACGCCATTGTCCTTTTGTATCCTCCAAATGATGAAGAGGAGGACCCCTAATGCTAGCGCAAACAGCTGTCCTAGGAATCGCACAATAGCCGCCTAGGCACAGGGTAACACATCACCACACACGCTTGCACAGACGGTTCAAGGGGTAGACATATTATGCGGAAAAAGTGACGGGTCTGATGGCACTCATCCCCAGAAACCCATAAGATTAAGGCCAGGCCTTGGGGGTGTTCACACACATCGCGTGCGTCGATAGAACCATTTATGCGAGCATCCCGTAATCTCCTGCCATGCAGCCTCTCCGCATCCCCTCTGGTATACAGACAAAACCGTGCTTCAGTTAGATCCCCTGAGGCTAAGGGAGAAGTTCACAAGGGTGGAGGAGAGTAACCTACTGTCCAAATAGCGTCAGCACCATTGTTGCACCCCAGGTAGGTGAGTTCGATCATATCTCTTCTAACGAACCCACAATTGCAGGCCTCCTTGAAGTTGTCGATGTACTCCGAAATTAGGTCAAATACGCTCCTCACACGGCTGCCTGAAAGAATGGAGAACAGCACAGCGGACGACAGCTGTTTCCCCAATGCGTCACTTTAACGGGGGAAACTGCGCGGAGGCACGGCGCATGGCAAGGAAAGTATCACAAGGCCAAACAACACCAAGTCAAATAAGACTGGAACAGGCACGATCAGACGAAGCGTCACGACCCACAGCACGAGAATGAAGCAGCAAAGGCAGCTGATAGTACAAACCAGCGCGAGACAAAGGATCTCAAACGTGAACCGAGGGAACCAATAAAAGGCTAGGGAAACTGCATGCCTCTAGCCAGATGCAAAAAGCGCTCTCTGGTGAATAAAACAAGAGCCGTCTCGGGGTTGTGCAAAATATTTGTTTGTTCGGCGCCCCCGTGAGGATACCCAGGAGAGGGTCATGTTCTGCTTTTATGACCATTTGGGTGGCAAGCACAACGAAAGACACAACCGAAGTGTTGCATACGAAGTTCTGATGTGGAATCCTCAAGTACTTGAGTAAGGTTGCGCGCTGAACAGATAAAGACACACAACGGCAGCTGCATCAACTCTCTTCTATTTGCCTTCTGCCTGGCGGTCGTGGGACCTCCTCATTCGCGTAGGCTTTTCTCTGGCTTCCAGCCCCTTCCACCCCCTGCCGCTCTTCATCGCTCTGCCTACTGACACATGGAGCTACCGTGCCGCTGCCCCGTGCCTCTTCTATTCGGAACAAGTCAGCGCCCTGTCATATGATAATACTCGTGTTGCTAGTCTTACAGGCGAACGTCTGGTAATACATTGAGTAGTCCAAAATAGACATTGAAATCGGAGTTTCATGTACAATCATCTCTCTTCCAGTGCAGGTTCCCTTCTCCACATCTTCGGCTGATGTATTACGGTAACAGTCCATGGTCTCTTCCAAAAGCTGTAGCTTGTACTTGCACAGCAGGATTGCGTTTCTCAGCTTCTTAATATAGTCCTCTGCTTTGGCTTTCGCGCCCTCTTCGGAATCGTTATTCTCTTTCTTAAACTTCTCTACCTGAAGGAATCACAGGTACCTATCGCGAAAGGCGCGTGTGCTGACCACCTATAAGAAGCAGCGCATCTATCGCAGTTCGGTGACGTAGTGTCTAGCATCTCAGGATGCCCAACGGAGTTGATACGGAGGGCCCACAACCGTAAGCGCACCACATCGACGCAGCATTCAAAAATTCGACATTGGGCCTTGACTACTAGAGGAGGCACATAACTGGCTTGCTGCGCTATTCAGCATTTTAGGCTTCAAGCGATCAAACTTCGTGCCACCGCTGACCTTTTCATTGTAGAGGTTTTCCAGCCATTTCTTGAATTCCTCATCAGTGGCAGTAGGGTACGTGGAGGTGATGGTGAGGGTATTGCCTATGGATTCGTAGCCTTTCATCCCCGCTGGTTCTATGATCCTCCTCAACGTATGCAAGCCATACACCGTAACGGGTTCATCATAACCGGGGTGATGCACGGTGCGGTTATCCCATTGGAGTCCGCTCTGGCAGCAACAACCACAACCACCTCACCACATCCACACTAGGCGTTTCCACTGACGCACCACTGTAGCGCATGCTTCAGCACCAACGGTGACGATCGCAGTACGTGGTAAGTGGGGGAGAAGCAAAACCCACACGCAGCAAGAGGAAGTGGAGCAGTAAGACAGCAGAATAAACAGCGGCCGTGCTGCAGCCCGCATAATAGCCTCACGTTAAGGACTTCTGGGAATGTATCGACAAGATCTTTAGTTTCTGGATTACTTTTGAGCTTCTCCCGGTCAAATATCACCGCGAATCCAAATTCGTTAATCCAATTTTGCATTTTCTCTACATCTGAGGCGACGCATGCGCGCAGGAACCTATTTGAGCGCTGCATAGGGCAGCTTCCACCGACCCCAGCCAAAAAACTTTGGTGCTTGGCTGCTGCATCGTGCACTTAAGCCCAAGAGCCTTAAGTCTTGGGCACATGGGCTCACTAACGAGCGAGAACGGATTAAAGGCCGGGAGACGCAACATAGGGCAAGCAAGGTCAAACCACGTACTTGCAGCGGCTTCCGTCTTGCTGTCTGGCAGGTGGCTCAGCACAGTGTTGCGCGCCTTCCCTAGAGATTTCTTTGCCTCTTCTACTCGGTGGTCCTCTTTCATAGCCTCTAGAATATTGAGGTTTTCATTTTGCAAACAGTCCTGCAGGATACCCCCATTCTCGCCTACAAGGGTGTGCATTAGCCTGTCCAGCTGCTCGCGCGTGTCTTGGTCGTCCTCAGTGTTACCGCCTCCATGCGTACCCGCAGGCCAAAGCGATTTCACTCCCGCAGTGCAAATCGGGTCGCCTACGTAGGAGGCCATGAAGACTGCTCCCGTGGTGATGACGCTTAGAGACACTAAAGCCAGCACGCAGTTCCAACTGAGGCAGCTCGGGAGCAACCCACTGCGCCCCTTGCTGAAGAAGAATAGGGCAAGCGCGATAGCGCCAAACACAACACCCAAGAAAATCAGAATGACCTCACCCCACAACACAATGGGTGCAAGGGCAGCCATGGGTGTTGCTACATGAGCAGCATCCACAGCGACCTCCTGCAGGCGTTTAGTTTCTTCTTGTAATTTCTCCAGATCCAAGCCTCCTTTAAGGTTGAGTGAAGGCAGGCTGACCTTGTTCATTGCAGAATTAGCCGCCGACTCTACGCCTTCTACAGCCTTTTCGAACGGCGAGTAATAGTCATCTCCTAGCGTTTTGACAGCATCCCAGAAGAGATACTTCATATAAGCCTTTTCTGTGGCTTTTTTGAAGGAATCCAAGTTTGTCGTCAGGGCCATGTTGGTAGTTTTAATGTTCTGCAGTCGCTCATCCAACTCCGGTCCTCTAGTTGAAACGCTTTTCAGAACGGTGCTCAGATTGTTGGGTCCGTCGGTATTGAAGAGTGCTTCCAGACCCTTAGCGTTCTTCTCAAGTCCACTCACCCCCGGAAACTTGATAGCATTGTCGTCGCTCTTGCTCATAAGCCCAGGAAGTAAAAGCGTACTGCCTGCGTATTGCGGTTCGCCGTTCGTGACGCTAATCGTGCCACCCAACGTTGCCGTCTCGACAATGCCAAGGGCCGCACAGCCGGAAGAGCCGAGGGCATTTACTGCCATGTGAACTTTCGTCTGGCCATGAAGGAGCATGTAGACGCACCCCGCTGCGAGGGTGCCCCCCAAGATGACTGTGAACAAGACAAATGCCCACTTGATCTCCCTTTGTTTCTCCTCCATACAACAACACACCTTCCTCCAGCGCTTCACACAGGCCTGCCACGATAAGAAGAAAAACCAAATGAAAAAGAAAAGCGTCCCAAGGATCACACATGTCAACGGCAGCGGGTCCAATAGTGCGCTTAGCACCACTGTGACAATGGCCTTCGGATCATGACTCTTGAGCGCATCCGAGAGGTCCTCGATATCCACCTTTCCCTCTGTCTTCCTTTCTTGCACTGATTTCGCCAATAGATCCTCACTGATGCCCGGGGTAACCTGCATGTGCATGCACGGAAACACGTGAAAATACACTCCCGCTCTCATACCAGAAGCAGCAGCCGCAGGACAGGAACGGCAAGCACCCCTTTTAAGTGCTAAGGCCAACAGTGTCGCCTAGTTCAGCAAGAGGCGCCCAATACGCGTCGTTCCGCACGAGGAGGACCTCCGTTCAAAGGCAGCAACAAACGCCGCAAGAGCAGCCAGGGAGCGATAAAGAAGCACCTGCATCTTACCTTGTTGGTTTTAGGGTCAATCCACGATGCACATATCCCTGTCTCTCTATAATTTTTAACCGCATCCTGAAATTCACGCGAATCGGGCTCTGCAGAGACTGAGTCTTTAATCGCTTTTTCCAGGGTTTCTTTAAGTGCTGATACGGCCACACTTCGCCCCGATTCCTCCTCCAAAGTACTTATAATGGCGGGTTCAGTCGTTACTTGTGATGCCACAGCATCTGCAGAAATTGTGCTGTGAGACTCATGGTGACTAAGGCTTGAAATGGCGATCCCAGAGCTGGAAGAGCTGAGGCCTTCCACAGAGAGGATACTGCCAAGTATAGCGGCAAGAAGGCAGCAAATGGATGTTGACCTCCTACCGATGCATCTAGATAGGCGGCACAACGACATCGTTTTATGCTTCTCCACAAAATTCCGAATTAGAAGACCCCTCGGCCTTGCCTCCTAAACAAAAAAAAGTTGGAATGTCAGTGGTAGAAAATCATTCCAATGTCGTGAAATAGATTTAACAGCACACACAGCATCGACGAAGCAGCCGCTAGACCGCTACCCCAGCGTGTGTGCGGAGATCCAGGTGCACGACCGGGGGACGACAACGTTAAGGCTGGAAAGCGTGAAAGGCCCAATTCATTAAAAGACAAATGATTTCCGATAATAATAACAAAAATTCCTTTAAAATTGCCCCAGAACTTTCCACTGTTTCAATTAAGCAATTTTGGACCTTAATGGACACCTGTAGCACACCGAGTGCATTACTCGCTCGAGGACACCACTCGCCTCAGTTTTCTGCGTTGAACAAACTTTTCTGTTCCTCAGCTTCACTTGTTGTTTCTGCATCTCGAATCCTGTCGTTAAATTTAAGAACTTCCCATAATCTAGTTCAAGCTCCCTACTTTTTGTGTACTAGACCACCGGGACATCGACACTTGTTGGCTCGATGGCACATGTCTCCGACTTCCTGCTCTTATCTCAGCATGATGATATCTACTGTGTATATGCTTCACAAATGCAAAGCGATTCCACCTTTCTAAATACTGCAGTTTGAACACATATATGCACTGCTTCTTGCTAGCCGCCCGAGGAGTGACTTGTTGCCAACTTAGGCCTTCCCCCACTTGGTGCAGTGGCCGGTAGTTTAGAATCCTCACAAGTGATCAGTATTGGGTGCATTGCTTTTCCAGAATTCTAGAGAGAACACTAGCCAGGGGGTTGATGGATTATTTTCTCGGGCAGACCAAAGGTACACTAAGGCACTTCCTAGTACAGTAGGTCTTTCCAATTGCGAAATAGTTAAGGATTAACTTTCTCGGGCAGAGCAAAAGTACATGAATGCACTTCCTAGTACAGTAGGTCTTTGCAACTGCGAAATAGTCAAGGATTAAGTTCTTGGCTTGGCTATCTTTATGCGTTATTCTCAGCAGTTTAGAGCTAGCCGAATGCATGAGCTGTCAAAGTTTACTGCCTACGCGCGACGCGCCTCAAAAGGCAACCGAGTGGGAATCAATATCCAGAGGGAGTAGAGCACGAAGCAGCGCCCAAGCACCATAGTGATGTCTCTCCTACCTCATGGTGGAACCACATAGGGCGAGGACAAGCAGAAGGGGGAACGAGCTGTTCGGGAAAGACACAAAATATCCAATAAGTTTGTTTTCGGTTTCATGGGGCAAAGGCCTTCATAAGAATATGGTAGGTCCAGCCTTGAATTCAGGTCCTGTGCGTCGTATACTAGCGCAGCGTCTCTTCCGTTTCACACAGCGCATGCCTGACGTTTAATTCTGGAGAAATTCTCTCCCTGTTGGGGAAGAAGCGTGTCACATGGAAAGAACTGTGATACTTGACGCAGCCACTGTGATGCTGAATAGCGCACTTTTCCTTAGAAAAAGCCCAACTGTCAGATGTTATTTATCCGTCTTGGAGTTGCGGTAAATCTCCCAGTTGTGCCGATTGCTGCAACTCTTGGGTCTATCTGCCATTTTTTCTCGGCACAAGGAGTACTAGGGTATTACAGAATTCACGATGATGCGTTCGATGAAACTGCTTCTCAGAAAATAGGAGCGCTTTGAGCTTCACTGCCACAAGCAAGCAATCCATCACTCACTTTGGCCAGATATCCCTAGCCTTTAAAATGGAATGCAGGGAGAATTACCCACCAAATAGCCTCTACAATACGCAGCCGGCCTACCATGGCTACAAGAATCAAGTATGTGCTTCGTTTGATCAGAAGCCCGCTGAGGAATATGAAATTAAATAGAGCCAGAAGTAGTACAATGCTCGTAGCAAACGTACAGTGGGCTAGAATCACGCAGGTGAAGCTTCAGCCTCCAGAGCACTGCCCAAGGTTCGAATACCATGTCCAAACAGTGCGGCGAAAGAAAGCGGGCAACGGTCAATCGACAGCAAGTGTCATGAAGCAGCCGCTTTCTCCGTAAGAGAGTGTAATACACTGCCCCAACCTATGGTGGACCGCTGCCCGAAAGGCCCAGAGACTGGGAGGGTTCAGAGGTTTTGCTTTACACTCGAATGCAAACAGAAATTTCCACTGTCCACTTCAAAATGAAGCGCGTCGCCATAAGCACCTAAAATGTATGGTAAACAATATTCAAAGAGTGCCCACCTGAAGGCTGATCTGCTGCAAGCAGTACGCTATTTGCGGGAACCACAGGTGCTGTAGCACTCTCCATTCAGCAGTCCATATTTGTAATCCGCCTCTAGTTGGTATCGGAAGCATTTAAAATTCCTGCATGCTGCACCTGCCCTCATGAAGCTTTGCAACGAGCCCCAACCCTTCATACCTAATTGCGTTAGGCAAGCTTATCTATGCATGCACCTAGTATGAAAGTGCTGCACTCCGTGGACGACATGAATATGGAGAAGATGCAAACGCCTTGCGAAGCCATTGCATTAGTTACTAGCGAGCTGTACGCTACAGATGGCCATTAATGGGCTGCAGGTACCCTCAGGGGTAGTCTTGGTCCCGCAACTCCCCGCAGAACCACCCCGCCATGACGAGCACCGAGGCTTTTCATTGGCAAGCCACGGAATCACGATGGAATTCAAAAGGCAGTGGGTCTGTTGCACTCTGAGATACAGCTCTTGATTCCTGTTAGGCCCGTCACCGAAGACGATTTTCCTCAAGGGGCTGCTGCTACCATGTCCTGTACTGCACTCTGACATGGCCTCACTAAGCTGCAATCTGTGTGCTTAGGGTGGGAGGAAACTGCTCAAGAAGGGTTTAACAGTACTGTTAAACGTCCTGCTACTGCGCCTTCAAAGCCCTCGATACCCCGCATGGCTCGGGCCTCGGGTAGCACAAAGCTGCTAAGCAGCTGCAAGAAAGCACTCTTCTTACATTCTCCGGTAAGCGCCCCATCAGTGTCACAAGTTATGCAGCACCATCACACTAGCGCCTGAGGACTTGCACCAGAATCAAGGGGCAAGCTCTTTGCGAAGCAGCTGAATGCCAGTCGTCTGAGATCCTGCGAACCACTCGGCAGCCAAAGGCGCACACTGCAGTCCCTGTACAGCAGCTTCCCCTAAACATACAATAGGAGGGCAAAAGGTCTCGCCTCCCTGTGCATCCACGAAAGAGGCTCTGGGAAGCGCCAGCACAGTGATGACTCAGAAGAGTGTTTAAGGCGTTGTCGACGGCACACTGAGGGGCCACATGAAGGTGCGTTGCACAAGCTATTGCTCACATCCCGCTTACCCGATTTGCACAGTGCTGCCTCTGCGTTATCGAGGGTCTTCGCGTCGAGGCGCTGGCGCATCTGCGGTTCCACAAGGATCACTGCAGAAACTGCATGTAGAACGAAGAGGCAAGCGGCCTCCCCAAAACTAGCGGCTGCTCAAAGGACCCCCCCCAATTAGCCTACGCATTGAAAAATACAGTTCGGAGCCCAAAGGTGTACCTTTGTTTCTAGGTCAGTGAGTTTCAGCTCTCCCGCCGTTTTAAATGCCTGCAGCACCACGAAAACGCCCCGCGTCCGCAAGGCGGCTGGCAAGTTGGAGTCTAGGGCTTCCCAGGCCCCTTCCACCACGGCTGCTCCCCCAGCCTTCACCAAGCCGCTCAGCGCACGCTGGGCCGTCCTGGAGCAGTAACCGCAGCACATCCGCAAGCGCAGAAGTCCCCAGATAAAGGCCACGCACACGCTCCCACTGCATCCAGCTACGGTGCCGTTTAAGGGTATACAGACAGCTGTCACGCAACAGGTTGCTGCGGTGAAGGGCCACTGGCAGCCAAGGGCGTACGGATCGCTGACGAGCGTGGGCTCCTCCTGCTGCAAGTCCTCCTTTAGGGCTGCAAGTGCCCGCAAAGAAGCTTTTTCCGCTGCAGGCAAAAACATCTCAGAGGCCCCGCTCCTTTACCACCTAGCACGGCACAGCACTGGCGTGTATGGGCCAGAAAAAAAGCTCTATCGACGATGTTACGGGCAAACAACACAGGTGCGCTCGCCTACCATCTGGGTGCTGTGAGAGCTGTAGAAAAACCTTTGCGGCATGACTGTCCTTCAGGGCAGCAGCTACAGTCCGCTCAGATTTATCGGAGGCTCTAAGAGCCAGGGCAGCAAAGGCCTCCGAAAGGGCAGAGACGACTGCCGGCAGCAATTCCGCCTGACGCTGCGCTGCGGGCTTGAGGCTGCAGTAAAGAGCAGGCAACACTACGCCACATTCGTATGAAGTAAGTACATCCGCCAGAACGGCACACAAGGCCCGAAGGAAATATGAGGGACCAAAGGCGCCCGGGTGGGAGGAGCTAGCAGGTAGCCTGGCGCTGTTGCAGTCAGCAAAGCAGCAGATAAGCAGCCGACCTATACGGCGAAGGCAGGGAAAGCAGTGTCTGATAGTGCGTCGGCAGCTGCCTGCAGATGCCCTCCCGTTGAAGTAGCTGTAGCAGCACCAAATGGCCGCAAGGGTCAAACGAAAGTTCCAGAGAAGCGGGTAGCACTTCCTGCGCAGTACACAGAACGGGCGGGCGCCATTCAACAGACACGGTGGAAAAGACTCGCATCGCATCCAGATACGCGTCCGGCGGCCCTGCCACGCCTCCTTCAAAGGCCGCAGACACTCTGTATCACAAGGATCCTCGTGCAAAAATACCCTCTCTACGCTCCTGCTTTCATGCTTTTGCGGGCGCGAAGACCACGCACGCGTCCCTACCTTGAGAACCTGATCGCTGAGGAGTTTTGTGTCGTCTACTGTCAATAAGAAACGGAGGAGGAGGGGGCAGTCCACCGCGTTGCATGCAAAGGCCAAGCAGTGCTGCTTCAGTCCTTTGATCGCCGCCTTGCGCTCCTTCGCAGAAGCAAAGCCTACCAGCCGGCAGAGTGCCTGAAGAGGCAGAACAGAAACAATGGCAATGGCGGGTGGAAGAAGAGCATTAAGCGAACCTGACAGTAGCAGCGCTCTGGCTACGATTCGAGAAAGCAAGAGAGTTACATCAGCGGACGATGCAGGGCACGGTGAAACACTGCGAACACTAGGCCTTGCAGACTAGCCCAAAGCGCCGCCTGGGCATGGCCCCAGCAAAGGGCATTGTCACGCAGGCAGCAGCAAAGAGACGCAGCAGTGGTCCTGGGAAGCAGGGATTAGGGAGCATTTGAACGAGACAGCGCACGGCGAATTTCTACACAGCCTCATGAGAATGAGACAGCGGAAAGGCATGAAAAGCAGCGGAGAGCCAACAAAGAGAGTGCAAGTGTATACCTCAACTCCGTCTTTTGTTGTAGCCAAATGCAATGCCCCCTCAGCGACAGTCCTCCACGTAGCGGCGAGTTCCTCGTCATCCGCGACACTGCATATCAGAAGACGGAAAGAGGCAGCGTGAAAGCCGTCAAGAGCGCTGTCAAGGCCTCCATGGCGGCATCGGTGATCAAAGGTCTAAAGAAAGCTGCCTCCCTCCCTCCGTTTTCCTCCGTACCAACCTGCAAAAGCCCTTGAGGATACGGTGCACATGGGCCTTGTTGAGGAGTTCCTTATCCACGAACTTCTGTATTAGCGTGCTGAGGTTCTCTGGGAGGCGCAGGCACACGGGCAGCACAGGCAGACGCATTCCTCAACAGATGGGCTTAACACTGGACGGTGTCGTTGCCATGAGGACACTAACAAGATCTGCCAAATCGCCTGAGCTCGACGCCCAGAGAAAAAGCAGCTGGACTGCCGGATCCAGAAGGAAAGAAGGGAACACCGAAGACTGAGATATGCACACGCCACCCATGGAGGCTCACCGAATGTCTTTGCGCGCTGAGTCTCGGAAAGGAGTGCAATCACCTGAGAGAACGAAGAAGCCTCGTTCACCTTGGGTACCGCAACAAGCAACGCCGGCTCTAGGAGCAAGCTGTTCAAAAGCTTCTGCTGCCTGAACAGGCGCAAAAACGCAGCCTCGGCAAGCCCCATCGGCGCATACCAATGAGCTCCTTCCAGTAAGCCACCTCATACCTTTACAGCCAACCGCCACACCAGTCGCTTAAGGCCTGTTGTCTGGCAGGAAGGCCAAACAACGAGCAGTGTGCAAAGAGATAGCCAGCAGCGGGAGGCCCGAGAGGGAGGAAATAATGAGACGCAGACCCAAGTGCGTTCCTTTGCGACGTGTAGAAATACTCCCAGACAGCCGCTCCGTGCTGCACAGGTCACCGAAAGCACCATGTATTTCTGGCTAGCTGACACGGCTTTCGAGCTAGCGAAAATGCTGCCTATCGCGTTCAATCAGGGCTACAGGGGAGGTTTACGAACCTTGGTCAGGGCTGCCTCCTTACGGCTGGCCAGCCGGGAGGTAAGCCGCCCCCGCTGCGCCTCAGATCCGTACAAGAACATTTTCATTGCCACATGGTGAAATGCCTTGCAACTGCAAAACTCTAAAAAGTCAGCTGCGCCCACAGCACCACCCACACAAAACCCGTTGCCCCTAAGACATGCGCCCTATAGGAGGCGTGTTACAATCGAAGCTGTACAAACATGGCGCTGAGGTGGCCAACACGCCTGCAAGTGCAACAGTACGAACTCAAACCGGAGAACACGCGGAAGCAAAAAGGCAATGGCTATTTGGCGCAGGACCGTACAGGAATGTGTCTGAACCTCCACCCCCCGTAGATTCTCATATTTTGAGAGCTTTCCCTTATAAGAGAGGTCTTACTATAAAGTAGCTCCCACAGGTGGTCTCGCTTTTCTCCCTCCGAGTGCTTCAGACACATTTGTGCTAGGCGAGCGGTGCAGCAGTGACGATCCTTCTGCAACCAGTAGCATGCAAGGGGAGATGCTTGCAAGCTTTCAGCCCCCTTCCTCGGACGTGCTTGTGGCCTTACAAGACGCGAACATACGAATACCCCTAACAAAGAACCTCCTCACTTACCCTGGCCAGAGGACCCTCCAAAAACCCTATGGCCTTCGCCACAGCGTTCTGGAGGGCCTTGCGCGACTGTAGAGAGGCCGCTGAGGCTCCCGGAGCCTCAGCCTTGCGAATGCTCCCCAAAATATCGTTGTACAACTGATACGATTGGTGCACGAAGACTTTGTCGTCTGCTGTCTTGCTGCTCATGACCAGTCGCATGAGCTTGCGGCGCTTGCTGCCGCTCAGTTGGGCTTGCTGCGGCTCTGCCCCTGGATCTGCCCGCGTCTCGCAATCCGTCCCGCTAGTAGCTGCACCGTCACTCGAGCCCTCTGGAAGCTTGCCGGCGTTTTTGAAGCAGGCAGCCACTGCGGCGTCGGCAGACTCTCCCGGGCACAACAGGTCGGGGTGTTTCTCCAGAAGCGCTCTAAGGCGTTCCTGACCATTCATGAGTTTGCGTTTTCGCGGTTGTTCAGCAGCGTCTGCAGCCTTCTTCCCCCCTGCTTGAGGCCGGTGCCGCTGCTTACTGATGATGCGGGATCTGGGGCAGCCATCTTCCTTGACTTTGCTTGGCTGCTGCTTCTTCGGGTGAGGGGCCTTGGTTGGTTTCTTGTGCTTCTTGCGAAGGCCCTCGCCGTCAAGGCCTTTGATATCGGGGCGCTTTGGCAGGCTGCCCCCCTGCTGCTGCCTGAGCTTTTTCGCCTGCAGATTCGGTTTGCCATGAGCCTTGCGACCTTTCTTTGGACCTCCGCGGTGGGGGCCCTTTCCGCGAGAAGGATTTCGCTGGTGCCTTTCGGCTTTCATTGTCAGACGAACGGTTGCGCCCTTCTCAAGAGCCAGGAAGATGAATCGAGGAGCCTCCTCTGCCCGCGCGCGCCTTCAGCTGAGGCTCTATAAGTGTTTCTGCTCGCCTCCTTGGGCGGGAAGGTTCCCTTGTCGGGAGAGTTACACCCAATTGCAAAGGGCCCTCTCTGTAAACGCCGAAGGAGATCGCGAGCCCTAACGGTTCCGGACGAGCATACCTGTTAAGGGGTCCCCTCCGCGGCTGCGGAAACTGCGGCCTCGCCGACGTAAATGCCAAAATGCCTTTAGGTTGGCTACTAATGAGGCATTAAAATCCGTACGATTCCCCCTCTCGAGCATTCAATGGCGTACGCTCCGCGGCGCCGCCTCTCAAAGAGGCTGCATCCTCGTCGGGGCAGCATTGCTAGGTACACCGGACTTGGGGCTTCATCGCTCCAGCGCAGAGCTTCCCTTTAGCGTTCATTCTCTTGGAACCGCTTTAGATGGACTTGTGTTTTTCAAAGCACAAAGAAGTACTTAGCCCCGTGGAAGGTTCCTAACGGGGTCGCGGGGTTACATGCTTCTGGACAGTGCCAGCTTGAGGCACTGGCGAGGATTCCACTGAGCAGCCTTTAGACCTAGGGCTGGTGAGAGCGACGGAAGCTCTCTATAGGCCTCACTTTCGAAGGGCAGCTGCATCAGGGTGCTTCCTGCTTTTGGAGGCAGGAGCACCCCATCAAAGCAGTCCAGTAGGGCTGTGCGGAGATATCTGCCGTCGACGCCTCTACCGAAACAGCGCGCCGCCCCCACCGCTGCCCGGAGTGCTCAATTCAACACGGAATCCACATGCAGGGCCTCCATACATAGAGGGGGCTTCGAGGATGTTATCAGACAGCGGCTCCTCCTCAGAATCGGAGGGTGCAGCAGACCTCCTCGAGTCAATCTTGGGAGTTTCGGGGAGCTCGCAGGGGGCAGTCGCGGGCAGGAAGAAGTCGGAAGCCTCCTGCCAGCGCCAGCAGGAGAGCGGGAAAGTCAGCGCACAGAAGGAGGCCTCATTAGAGACGAAGTGCCGCCATGAGAATAAGACAGAGAGGGCCGCTTCTGTCCAGGAGGAGCCACACCAACCTCCACAGCAACCTCCACAGCACCTCAAGTTAGACCTGAAGGGCCTCCCCCTTCAAGTAGGACCACGCTGCGCGAATTCTCATGGCGTGGGGCCTTTTGTTTTGCAACCCCACCAGAAAGTGCTTCGCCTCTCGATAGACGGCGACCCAAACGCCGATCCGGCAGGTCAGTCTCAGAATTTGCCGTATTGAAAGCCTTCCTTTGCAAGAGAGGCCTTTATATAGTGGCATCTGTCTGCACATTTTGCGAAAGATCCGGTGTGTCTGCATGCAGAGCTTCTCTCTGCGTACATCGCCTCGCTGGGGGACATCCAGCAGCAGCGAACTACCGCTGTCACGGCAGATAAGCAGATTCAAGTGAAGGGCGTCTGGTATGCAGTGCAACGGGATGCCTCTCGAGGCGAGCTCTTACTGGGTGCAGAGCCATCAGACACACAACTTCTGACCCCCGAGCGGCATCTTGGTCATCTGCGCTTCGTTCGCTGCGAAGCCCCGGAAGAGAACGGAGTACAGGGAGAGTCAGAAGAGGTGAGTGGGGTGTCTTAAAGGTATTTTCGCTTTTCCAAATGGCTGTCAAGGGTTCCGATGGCTGCATCTGCATTGCTTGTTCGTTGTTTCCAGAGATGTTCTGGGGTTCGAGACCATGCATAAGCTATGCACACCTCTTTTGTGTGCCGCTGCAGGATTCGTTTTGGGAGACTTGTCCTTCCTTTGCAAGGTTTCATAAGATCCGAACATATGGGGCGAATGTGAAGCCTAAGAAACCAAAGAGCCGCAGAGTTCGCGATATTTGATGCGCTTGCTCTTGTGGATTATCCCAACGTTACAGTGTACACAGCTGGAAGAAGTTTTCTCTGTGTGCCTCCAGGTATAATGGGATACAATCAAAGCATGCGTGTGGGTATAGGGTCTTAAATGACACTTTCTGGTGCTGCATTAAGAATCGGCAGACGATGCGTATGGTCTCGATTCCCCAGGCGCGGGGCGGTATAGTGAAAGCAGAGAACATTTCAGAGACCTTCAGGGGTCTTTCTCATCATGTTTTTGCTACTGTAAGCTCAGGGGCACTGCTTTGTGCTCTTTAATAAAGCTGATGCTGAATTAGCACCACAATCCCCGCTGTACGTGTGCGCGGATAGAACGAGGCATAGGAAAACTTAACGGCTTTGTTAGTCAGTTCGGCACCCAAGGCTGTGCATTTGCTGGTGCTGTTTGAGCTCAGTTCCAGTCATATAAATCCATAGAAAGTGCCACTTCAGCTGCGTACTCTAGAAGATGCCCTAGAATAAGCGATGAACCGCGCTGCATTAACCGCAGCCTGTGATACATTTACTTACAGTTTGAGCAGTTAGAGCACGAAACAAAGAACCGTGTGCTCTTTTTCGAGCCTAATCAAAGTCAAGTATTGCGCGATAGGTTCCTGAAAGGGCTTGCACTCGTATTAATACTGCACACCTTTACCAGGATTCGAACCCCGGTGTGCTCGGCGATAGTAAGGCACTGGCGCATGCGTGTTTCTGGGGCTGTATCGTAGCCCGTTTCTGCCTCGAGTCTCCTTCGGGTCTCGAAAGAAACAAAGGAAGTGTTGCATGAAATTTCGTTTTTTTCTGGTGCCTTCCTGCTGGAAGGTGTTGCTCGGGCAGTGATATTCTTCCGCTCCTCATTCCTTGCAGAGCTGGTGTGAGCGTCATAGAGACAGCCAACGCTGAGGTTCTTCGGACTTTGTTCTATCCTCCCCTCTCGCGTGGCATATTTTTATGCTACGTTATGAGCTCTTCAAAGGCTTCTTGACGTCACAGATCCCCCACTACAAGCCTTCTCCGTAGAAGGGGGCATTAGCGAAGTCGAAGCCACGAGTCTTTCTCCGGCGGCTTCCTCGGCGAAAACTCGCAGTTTCTCCCTTGTAATACGTATGTGTGTTTGGCGTGTGGCTGGCTGACGTATCCTTTGCGCACGAGCGTATTTGTGTTGCAGCCTTTCGTTTACCCAGAAAATGTGAGGGGCTACCCTCCTGGCTCACCGCTTCCCTCGCTGTATGTACGTGTATAGACACCATCATCTGCAGAGATGGAGGCTGCTCTGCTGGCCCTTGCGCTGGAGGAGTTGGCGCTGCATCCTTTCCCGGGAGCATCGTTCGAGCGGCTTTGTCTCGATCTCCAGGATGAGCATCAACTCGAATTAGACGTCTTTATGAGGGTAGGTCGAAGTCATACTTTAGATACCCCGCCCCTTGCCGCTGATTTGTGATGGCCTCTACGCGCGGTCGGGCGTTCCTTCGCAGCCTCGCATATATGCCATGGCATGTCCCTTTTTTTTCTCAGGCGCTCCTTTGGCGCTCCCTCTATCGAAGCCCTGAGGTGTTCTTCACGGATGCCGCCTCCTGTGGACTGCATCAAGTGCCTCCGTCTCGCGTCTCATCTACTCCCTCAGGCGCAGACCAGGAACGCGTAGAGGACCGTCGGCTCGACTGGAGAGACCCTGCGATTCCCCCCGAGCTGCCTGTAGCGCCCTCAGTCCCCTGCCGCTTGGCGGAGCTGTCGAATCAAGCAGCGACAACAGCACACGAGGCAGAAGCTCATGCGAGCAAAGGCTCGAGACTCTTGGGGTCTTCCTGTACAACAGTGGAAGCAGCAGGCGACCCGTCCTTGGAGCAACAGAGGCGTTGGCTGCTTGTGGCGTCTGGAGGGATTGCCTTGCGGCTTTTGACGGCAATGGACATGAGCAATGATAGAAATGAATTCGAGCACCGCGTTAGCGAGGTTCATTTTCAGGTCTTAAGGAATGTAGCGCGTCACAAGGAACATGGTGAGAGGGCAAGCGGGAGCCTCCCGCCAGCGAAACAGCTGGCTTTGATGCCTGGGCCGTGGACTGCTGAAAAGCTTTCTTTATTGCAGCTCAATGCTCCCCCCATTTGCTCGCACCTCTAACGCGCCTGTGGCAAGGGCCATGCACATTTTAGGCTTCTTCTTTGCTGCCTTTGCCATGGCCTCGCCTTGAGTCCTTGCAAGAGGCTGAGGGGTGTGTCTGTATGCTTCTGTCTTCTCTCTCTCTCACTGTCTCTCTCTCTCTCACTCTCTCGCTCTCTCTCTCTCTCTCTCTCTCTCTCTCTCTCTCACTCTCTCACTCTCTCACTCTCTCTCTCTCACTTTTCTTTCTGTATCAGGGTACGAGTCTTTGCTGGTTGTGTGGGGTGTTGCTGTGTGTTGTTGAAACTTTTTGTTGCAGGAGAAAAGCGCAGGTCTGATGGGTCGTGTGGACAGAGGCACTTATCTGGCGTTGAGAGCTGCTTGTCAAGCGATTTTTTCGCATGTTTCGGAGACAACGTTAGACGAGTTGAAGGATATATTTGTGGAGTGGGCGGCTTCGCCTCATCCGGAGGCTGTGCGTCTTGCGAGCTCCATTGCGTTGTCGCTAGGAGCTGCAGCTCCTCACGTTCTCGTGCCTCGTTTGTTGGAGCTAACGGAGAAGCGGCTGCTGGATTTTTCTGCCTCTGAGGAGGCGACGAGGCGGGAGGGCACAGTGGCAGTGTACGGCGTGTCTTTCCCAGCCGTGCATCTCAGAGCCGCTGTCTCGTGGGAAGCCGTCGACTGGTTGATGCGGCTCTTAGCCGCTTCGATCCGGGGAGCCGGATCTGCAATTCTGCCTCTGCAGCAGCGTCTCCTGGCCCTCGCGCATGCGGTGCTGCAGCATCCGAAGCGGCAAGTGTACAGACTGGGGGTGAAGCTGCTGCGACGCAGCATGGAGGCATGGGTAGGGGTGTATCCGTGGCGTCTCTCGCACTCGCGGTGTATGGGCAGCTCGGAGTGGGCCGACCCCCGGAGGCGTCAGCTGTTCATTCTGCGCTGGGGGGCCCCCTTCTGGATCGTGAAGGGGGGGGAGGAGATCGAGTGGCACGTGCCTTCTCACGAGGAGCTTGCAGCGGCGCAGCAGTTTGCAGTGTACGGGGTGGCTTGCGCGCGCTTCCTGCTGCTGCCCTTGCTGCAGGGAGAAGACGCAGCGGAGGCGCTCGCGGAGGGGGGGGGGGCCCCTCCACGCTGCAGACGCACCTTCGCGAGGCGCTGGCGACCCCTCTGGAAGGCGAGGAGGTTCTTGCCGCTGCGGCTGCCTTTTCGCAGGAGCGAGATGCTGCAGCAGCAGCAAACTGGTCGCCTGCTCTGGGCAGCCTCGCTGAGCTGCGAAGACTTCCACCCGACTTCCTGGGGCCCCTCACGGAGGACGAAACGGCAGCTCCAGCTGCTGCGGCTGCTGCTGCGGGGGGGGGGGCCCCCTGCCCCTCGCATGCGGCTGGAGGGCAGCAGCTGCTGGAGGAAAGCGAAGCGAGAACGACTCGTGCGCGGCTAGCAAGAGCCTTGAAGATCTGCCGTCTCCTCTCAAAGGCTGCTGCTGCACAGCAAGCCGACGAAAGGCCTCGAAGAATCCCCATGTGGGGTGTCGTTACACCGTACGAAGCGGTCCCCCCAGAGGCCCCCCTTGTCTCCCCCCCCAATAACACCCCCCCCACCCCCCACAACAGCGACGTCGGCAGAGGTTCAAGAGCCAGCGCTTCTCCCTTCAGAGCGGCGCCTCTCGTGGAGGCTGTCGCCAGTCTCCTCCTAGTTGTAGCGCAGACGCAAGTGCCAATGCCGGATGGCCCCTTGCTGCCTCACCGCGGCGCCAGCGAGCCTGCCACAGCAGCGGCACAAGCAGCAGCAGCAGTATCAGCAGCAGCAGCATCTGCAGCAGCAGTATCAGCAGCAGCAGCAGGAGGAGGGTCGGGGAAAAGCAGGAAAGAGGGCGCCATGGATACAGGCGAAGAAGCCAAGATGCTCATTCGCTTCCTCAAGGTGTCTAGACAGCTCTTACTGCGCCCCTTCACGGCGTGGGTTTACGATGCTGGGCGCATCAACAAGGAAAACGGAGGCACACCAAGTTGTGGTTTCGAAGTCGAAGGCGTGGAGGTTCTCTCCTCCTGCTACGGTATGCTCAAATGCATGCTTGTAACTCTGCATGCGCTTGCTGCTGCTCGCGGGGGAAACCCCACCTCCACTGGCGTCGTCGCTGCCTCTCTCCCCTTTTTCTACACGCAAAGATATTTACCATCACTTCGCGCATATCCGCACACACCTTTCTCTTCATAGAGAGAGAGCGAGAGAGAGAGAGAGAAATATATGTACCCTGAAAAAAAATCCACCGTTGTCACCAACACCTTTCCAGACAGAATACACTGTCGGCATACTTTTTCTTACGTTCCCCGCTGTCTGTGTGGGTATCTCGCAAGCTTTTCGTCTGTGTGTCTCTCTCTGTATGTTTATGTGTGTGTGTCTCTCTCTCTGTATGTGTATGTGTTTGTGTTTCTCTCTGTATGTGTATGTGTGTGTGTGTCTCTCTCTTTCTCTCTCTCTCTCTCTCTCTCTCTCTCCATATATATATGTATGTCTTTTTTACATAGCTATCGCTCTACAATATACAGCACTGCTAGACTTTCTGTCCTCAACTCCTTTTCTTTTTCCCCCCTCTCACCTTCCTTTTTCGCTCTTTTCCTGTGTCTGTCGTTTAGCCACCATCTGCAAACACCCCCACACCCCCACATCCCTCTCTCTCTCTCTCTCTGTACAGCACATACATATTTGTATACACAAACACACACATGCACGTACAGTTCTACATGATGCATGCGCCTCTCTAGATGCGTCGCATGTCGCAATGCCTCTGCATTGGAGGAGGCAGCATGTTGAGGGCCGACTTGTTTGCTGCATTGACTCCCACTCTCTCACGCTTTCCATATGCATCTAAATAGATCATCTCGATCTTTCTGTCCCTCTCTTGACCTGTGTATGTATCTGTTTCTGATGTCAGGCATTCACGAGTCAGGCTTCCTTCACGACGTGCCTCGCTGTGTTTGGGCGCAAGGCATTTTGAATGCGTGGGGTGCTCGACTTGCAACGCGAAGATCTCATGTAGGAATATCTGGATGGCGAACAGCAATTCTCCTCTGTGTATTGAACCTCGCCACATATCATTATGCCCAGGTTGGTGTTTTTCTTGCTCGTAGAACTAGCAGCTCTCAGGCTTGTGAGTGCTGCGTTTGAACTGTCTCTGCTGTGCTCCCTGCCTCTTCGCCTCCTCGCATGCAGAAAGGCGTCTCTTTGATTTGGGGATTTGAGGCTTGAGTCTGCTGGGAGTTGCCCAACTCCTACGGATCCCCTCTGAACGCTTCTTCTTGCATGCAACTCCTCGCGCGCAGCACACACACACAGAGAGAGAGATACACATACACATACGCATACATACACACACACGTACATACACACACACATACATACACACACACGTACATACACACATACATACAAACATACACACATATATACACATACATACATACACACACATACACACATTCATACACACACATACATACACCTGGGAGCCTCCAGTCGAACCGCTGCTCTGCCCGCAGTAATGAAAATCGCCACGTGCTCCCATTCATTTTTCTCTCTAAAAAATGCAACCCACACGCCCTTACGCCTCCGCTGCTGCGTCCCTTCATCCCAAGCAGCTAGCCAGAAGGATGTCTTCGAATTCGCATTTCCCACCGATGCCTGGGGTATATGTGTATATGTATGTATATATATTTACACATATGTATATATATATATATGTGTATGTGTATATATATGTATGTATATATATGTGTATGTGTATATATGTATGTGTATATATATGTGTATATATATGTGTATGTGTATATATGTATGTGTGTATATATATGTATATGTGTATATATGTATATGTGTATATATATATGTGTATGTGCATATATGTGTATACATATGTGTATGTGTATATATAGACATATATATACACATATAGATATATATACATATATACACATACATGTGTATGTATTTGTATTTATGTGTGTTTCCCCTCTTGTCTGGTGTCTTCTGCAGTCACGCCGATTTGCGCAGCAAATTATGCGAGAAGTCTTCGCTTTCTACATGGGGATTCGTCGTCCTACACTAAGCCTCACACTTCAGCTTCTTGATGCCAACACTGCGCAACTCCCGACGGAGAAAAAAAATGGCTTACAGCCTGTTCAGCAGCAGCAACAACCTCTTAAAGAAAGACGACAAGTGGAAACGCTGTTTCCTCTTGGAGGCTCCAACAAGCAGCAACCGGTAAAAAGCACACCACATTGCCTCTTTATTAGAGGATGGCATTCGCCTTTCGGAAATTCTCTTTGCGCTTCACACATCGCGCATCCTTTGAACGTTTGTGTATGCGAAATTTATGGGTGTATGTATCTTTTGGGGAGTGAAAGTGTATGTATGTGTATGTGTATGTATGTATGTATGTTTGTGTATGTATGTTTGTGTATGTATCTATGTACATGTATGTATGTATGTTTGTGTATCGATGTATGTGTATGTATGTGTAAAAAATGTCGATGCCAATGTCAAACCCTCCTTGCCTCCACGGATGTCTGTCTGAAATGATTGATTATGGTGTCTGTGTCTGTCTTGCTTTCCCTTCTGCTGTGGCGTCACACATACACGTACACATAAATACACACATGCTTTTGCTGCTCTGCAAACGCAGGCAGCCTTCCGAGCTGAAGGTGACTCTGAGGCATCTGATCCAGCCGCAGGTGGGCATGAGGGATGCGTGAAAGGCAATGCTGCATGAGTATACGCTGTCATTGTGTGAAGACAGCTTCATGAACGCGCACCGTTTATGTCTCGGTTAACATCTCCGACGGAAACTGCAACAGGAATCGCCTTTGCTCCCCTGCCTCTCACAGTGTTCTCCTCTGCTCTCTTGGCTGTGTCACTGCTCGCATTTTTCCCATTTCAGAATTTCTCCTGTGTCGCTTCTTTCTGTGATAAATGCTTCTGTAATAGATGCTTTCTGTAAGACAGGTGTGTCTCTGTCTCCAACTGTGTCTGTCTCTATCTGTCTCTCTGTCTCTCTCCCCGTCTAAGTCCATCTGTCTATCTATCTCTGTCTATCTGTCTCTCTGTCTCTCTCTCTCTCTCTCTCTCTCTCTCTCTCTCTCTCTCTCTCTCTCTCTCCTCCTCTCTCTCTCTCTCTCTCTCCCTCCCTCTCCCTCTCTCTCTCTCTCTCTCTCTCTCCCTCTCTCTCTTTCCCTCTCTTTCTTTCCCTCTCATCTCTACCCTCTCCCC